ATTTTTATACTAATACTGAAAATTCCATCAATAAAGGGCTTAAACTACTGCATCAGTATATACCATTTCTCTCTTTCATATGGAATACTCGCTATTATTATGACATGTATTTCAATTAGCCAAACTGAATGGTCTGTTCTTGCATAATGCAGGTATCATTTGCTAACTCTGTGCTACTGTATTATTAGAAAAAAAAAAATTAATTTAATCACAGCCAAGGTTTTGTTGTATTTCTAAAGAAAAAAGTGCAGCAAAGTGAGGATTTAAAGAAACTTCACATTTATTCCGTACCTCTCCAGCCACTGGTCTAAATGTCTACACTGATATTCATCAAGTACCACAGCATCTGAATCATTCCAGCTTCTACATTCCTGTTCTTGATGCCAGTAGTGTGGATGTTGCACAGAACTAGAAAATAAGAATTTTCATCAGAAATCAAGTCACTGATAGTCACTGAACATTGCCTATACAAAACAAATATGGACAATCTGAGTATCATCATTTATAGTTACAAAATGCTGATTGGCATAAATAGGTGATTTGCATTAACTTATTCATTCAGGCAACACTAATTTAACAAAGGTGTTAGACGATGCAACTGCTGAGGAAAGAATCTTTGACTAATGCAATTAAGACATCGGAATTTTAAAATAAACTCTTAATATTTAGATAACCAAAAGTATATCCTTTCTCTATTTGCAAACAAAAAGAAAAAAAAACCCAAACAACTGAAGACTGTCACCAGTGTTTATGGAACTGCTGACATGTGCCAACATTCATCGATCCTCTGTCAGCAACACAGTATTTGACATTTATATACAATTCTACTCAGCACTAAACTTGTGGAAGAGGCAAATACAGAAAGATCACTCTAACACAGGAAAACAGCATGTCTACGGAGAAGGAGATCAAACATTTATGTGGAAATGCTTTTACACAGAAGTTCTTTACCAGACACTGCTGTGGAGTCCCCACAAGTAAGCATGGGACAAGGAGCTAGAGCGGGGCACTTGCAACATGCTGGAATGACAGCCAGAGACTGTTTAAGGATTAAGAGTTACAGACATTTTCCTCCTCAGTTCTGTCAACTTTGACATCTTAGATGATAGGTTATTAAACAAAACATTGTCACAGCGTCTGCTAACATCAGACCTGGCTTCTGGGTAAGGACTGCACCTGCGGATCAGCCACAACCTGCCTGAGAGAATGACCCTATGTTGTAGACTCCACAGAGTAAATACACTGTTGCTGTGTATGCGTGAGCAAACAGTAAACACACTGTTCTGTATGCATGGGGTCCCTGCACTTTTTAAGTCAACAAGTAAAAGGGAAGGAAGGTTTTTGTTATTTTAATCCTGGATTAACAACCTACGTTTTTTTCCCTTCCTCCTCCACCCTGACTGGGTTTGGGAGTTCCCTGCTCCCAGAGGGCTCAAAGGTACTAACACACACCACAAATAGCCTACTATGAATCACAGATCTAGGCAAAAGGACATTTTCAACACATTCAGTTTTTGTAAAGGCAGTGAAAAGATAAACACCTTTTCCCTAAGCACCCTCAGCAACGATCCAATTTAAAGACTTGAAAGAAAGAAAAACAAACAAGCAAAACAAACGCTCACTACCTAACATGCCTTAGGTACAACGCTATTTGAAAATCTAGGGAAAAACGCTAACCGAGAATTCTGCCTTTTGGAAATACTGCGGCGCTGCGTTGTTGTCTCCAGCGCTTTGCGCTGCCTGCC